AGTGGCCCGTGGCCTGCCGGCCACGCAGTCTGCCCGAGAGGGAGCGTCGGGCCAGGGAAGAGATGTTGCCGAGAGAGACTTCCGTGACGGCGTTGGGCCCGAACTTCGCCCCTGCTGCTGCTGCCTGCAGCTGCAGGACGCTGCTGCCTGCGGCACGTTGCTGCCTCTGCGAACTTTGGCTGTGTGCTGCTGCCGCTGCTTGCTGCGGACTGCTGCTGTTCGCTGTTGCTACTTGAGGCTGCAGAGTGCTGTTTCGTGATACCCTTGCAAGCTGACGCAACCTGGAGTTCGTGAGTGGACCGAGGACCGAGGAACGAGGAGTCAGGGTCGAGACGAGGGAGAAAGCGAGGAGCGACCAGCGAGGAGCAAGGAGCAAGGAGCGAGGAGGAAAGCAACGGTCGAAAAGAGAATAGAGAGAGAGAGAGACAGAGAGAGAGAGAGGCGAGGAGGGATGAGGGAGAGCCGAACGAGGGGGGAGGCAGACGCCAGTAATCAAGAGGAGAAAGGAGAGGCCAGGAGAGATGAGAGGAGCGAGGAGGCGTAAGAGCAGAGGAGCCAGGAGCGAGGAGAGAGGCGAGGAGCAACAAAAAAGCGGCGAGGAGCGAGGAGCGTGGAGCAGGGAGGGAGAAAAGAGGCACGAGAAGAGGCCAGCACACGAATGCGTGGCCGAACATCTGGTCTCCCCCTGGGTCGCCGACGGGGCTCTCTTGGGTGGCCAGCGCGGCCCCAGAGCTCTCTAAGGGATTTTCCCTCGGGAGCCTCTGTGAGGCGGTTTATGGGGCGTCTTGGGGGGAGGAGGAGGAGGAGGAGGAGGAGGAGGAGGAGGAGGAGGAGGAGGAGGAGGAGGAGGAGGAGGGCCTCCTGGGGCCCTCGTGGGCTCGGTTTGGGCCTCGTGCAGGCCTCCTGGGGCTTCTCGGGGGGATTCGTGGGGGTCTGCCGGCAGTTTCGGGGGCCATCATGGGGCGGAGGGTGCGACCTGCAAGCAGCTCCCCCCTCTTGAGGCCCTCTTGGGTCCCTCTTGAGGCCGTGATGGGCCGTCTTGGGTCCCTCTTCGGCCGCCTTCAAAGCCCTCTTGGGCTGCCTGGGGGGCCTCTTGGGGGCCTGTTGAGCCGCCTCCTGGGCCACCATGTAGCATCGGAAGCGCAGACAGGCGAGAACCTCGAAACCATTCAAAAACTCATGGGAAATCTATGATCCTGACTTCACTGACTACCTCCCAGACCACCCCAACCCAACCCGAAGACCCGAATTTCAGGTTGGGGGGGTAAGGGTTCCACACGTGTTTTTTCGATGGTTCCCGACCCCCCCCCCACTGGAAATCGAGGATAAATTTGGGCCTTCGGGTTGGGTTGGGGTGGTTTGGTGGGTGGAGATTCACTGGGCCCTCTTGGAGGGCCTCTTGGGACTCTCCTGGGCAGTCTTGGAGGCCTCCGGGGCCGTCGTGGGGCCACCGTGGGCGCCTCTGCGGCCGTCCTTGGGCCCCGCTGGGCCGTGTAGGGGGCGTGGCCCCAGGCACGCAAGGCGGTCGGAGCTGCCCCAGGGGCGCTCCTCGGCCTCCTCCTCCTCCTCCTCCTCCTCCTCCTCCTCCTCCTCCTCCTCCTCCTCCTCCTCCTCCTCCTCCTCCTCCTCCTCCCTCCTCCTCCTCCTCTTTCTCCTCATTTCTCATTTCTCGCTATGCACCTCCTCCTCCTCCTCCTCCTCCTCCTCCTCCTCCTCCTCCTCCTCCTCCTCCTCTTCTTTCCCCTGTTCCCCCCCCATCCGCCTCCTCCCTCCTCCTCCCGCTCTTCTCCCCCTCCTCTCCTCCTCCTCCCTCCTTCGCCCCCTCTCCTCCTCGTCCCTTCTCTCTCCCCCCTCGTGCTCCCCCCGAAACCTCTCGTAGCTCGAAAATCGCGATTGACGCACAGTGCCTTCTCGTACGCAGAGGTTCCAGCAGTGTAGAAGAGACCAGCGCTGATCCGTGGCCTACCGGCCACGGGAACCGTCCGAGGTGGCACGTTGGACCAGGGCAGGAATGTTGCCGAAAGGCTTTCGTGATGGCACTGGGCCCGAGCTTCCCTCCACTGCTGTTGCTACCTGCAGCTGCAGGGTGCTACTGTCTGAGGCATGCTGTTGCTGCTGCATACTTTTGCTGTGCTGCCGTTGCCTGCTACGGACTGCTGGTATTCGCTGTTGCTGCTTGGGGCTGCAGAACGCTGCTCCTTGATGCCCTTGCCAGATGGCGGAATCTTCAGCTCGTGAGCGGAGCGAGCAGCGAGGAGCAAAGAGCGAGGAGTCAGGGCCGAAGAGGGAGGTGGGGGAAGCGAGAAGCGGTCAGCGAGGAGCACGAAGCGAGAAGGGAGGAGCGACGGCCGAGGAGAGAGAGAGGCAAGGAAGAATGAGGCAGAGCCGAAGATGAGAGGGGAGGCAGACGCCAGCAGCAAGAAGGGAGAAGCAAAGGGCAAGTGCAGAGGTGGAAGGAGCGCGGTGGAGTGAAAAGAGAGGAACTGGGAACGAGATAATGGAGGCAAGGGGCGAGGAGAAGCTGGGAGGGGAGCGAGGCGCGTGGAACGAGGGGAACGAGAAGCGAGGCATGAGAAGAGGACAGCACACGAATGTCTCAATGGCCTCGGCGCGCGCGTGGCCGCACAGCTGGTCTCCTCCAGCGCCGCCGATAGGGCTCTCTTGAGTGGCTGGCGCGGTCCCAGAGCGCCCGAAGAGATCCTCCCTCGGAGCCCCCGTGACTCTGTGGGGCGGTCTGTGGGGTGTCCTGGGCCTCTCGGGGCCCTCTCTGGCCCGACCTGGGCCTCTCGCGGGCCCCCTGGGGCCTTTGGGAGGCTTCTCGGGGGTCGGTTGGCGGTCTCGGGGGCCATCTTGGGGCGGAGGGTGCGACATGCTTGTTCTGACTACCTACCAGACCACCCCAACCTAACCCGAAGACCCAAGCTTCGGGTAGGGGGGATACGGGTTCCACGTGTGTTTTTCAATGTTCCCTGATCCCCCCCCACGCTGGAAATCGAGGGTAAATTTGGGCCTTCGGGTTGGGTCGGGGTGGTTTGGTAGGTGATGATGTTCCAGCTGCCCCTCCTTGGGACCCTCTTGGGTCCCTGTCGGGGCCGTCATAGGCCGTCTCGGGTCCCTCTTGGGCCGCCTTGAGGCCCTCTTGGGCTGCCTGGGGGCCCTCATGGGGGCATATTGGGCCGTCCTCGGGCGATATCGGAGGCCCCTTGGGCCATCATGTAGCATCGGACTCCCGAAAACGCGAGAACGTCGAAATCCTTCAAAAACCAATCGGAGATCAATGGTTTGGGCTTCTCTGGGCCCTCTTGGGGGGCCTCTGGGGACTTTCTTAAGCAGTCTTGGGGGCCTCCTGGGTCATTAGGGCCGTCATGAGCGCCTCGCCTTGCGGCCACGCTTGGCCGTGTAGGGGGCGTGGCACGAGGCTCGCCTGCGCTGGGAACGCTTTTCGGCCTCCCGGATCGGTGTGCACAGTAATTACCTTCTCGCACGCTGAGGCTCTGGCATTGTACAAGAGACTAGGGCTGCCCCGTGGACCCCGTCTGCGTCGACCAGCGTGTCCAGCGTGCGTTTGTTGTTGCTTGTTTATTTAGATTGTTGCTGCGACTACTGCTTGCGAACCATTGGCCTGCTTGGTGTGGCTTGTTGCTTGCCTGCTGCATGCTGGCTAGCGTGCTGGCTTGCTTGCTTGCTTGCTTGCTTGCGTGCCTGCCTGCCTGCCTGCCTGCCTGCCTGCTTGCTTGCTTGCTTGCTGTTTTGCTGGCGTGCTCCCTGCCTGCTGTTACTGGTTGCCGCTGGCTGCTGCCTGCTGAAAACTGCGACGGGGCCCTGCTGGACTGAACCTAGACCTCCTCGTGGTGAAAGCCCTCCAGATTCGGTACCTTCCCGGTGCTCCAAATTCTTTCCAGTGGTCAAGGCCAAAGCAGGTTGGAACATCACGAGCCAAGACTGCAAAATCGAGGAGCGCATGTGCACCACCTGCTCGGACGATGCTGCGTCACAGCGGTGGCAGCCCAGAGGCGGAGGAGCCGCGCGGGCGCCGCAGGCATCGGAAGGAAAAGCAGACCCCGACATGCGACGCCCCGACTTTGTCCACGCGGGGCCCCTCTGGAAGTCCCGACCCTCTTCGGCGGCGCGCACAAGGGCTCCTCCTCCTCCTCCTCCTCCTCCTCCTCCTCCTCCTCCTCCTCCTCCTGGAGGGCGCAGGGAGGGCTTCTCAGAAGGAGGCTGCTTCTCAGAAGGTGCCGGCCTCACATCTGTAGAGCAGGCCCGCGCCCTGTGTAAGAAGCAGGGGTGCTGCTCAGAAGCCCTCCCCCCAGGCCCCCCCCCCCTCTGCGCGTGGCTGACCCTTCCCCCGGACCGGCTCTTCCCCCTGAGTCGTGCTTTGACGCCCCCGAGGCCGGGCCAGGGCACCCCGAGGCCGAAGACTCGCAAGAGCCTCCCGTCCTGATTTTTCGTTGCGGCGCGACCAGGTGGAAGGGGCCCCAGGACACACACATAAATACACACAAATAAAAAGATTCCCCATAGTTTCCCATATTGTTGGCCTTTGGTCTCCCCCCCACTTCCCATATGTTTGCATCTTTTCCTGGGAGGCGACGATGAATTGTGTCTGCTTGTTTCTTCCCCTCCTGACAGGTGTCTGGGGAGGCCACTGCGGAGCATGCCCCCGGTGGCCCGGAGCGCCCTCGAGGGAAAGCTCCCCGCCGGGTCGCCCGGGCAGGCCCGGGAGCAGCTGCAGAGGGGTGGGGAGACAGGGGTCCGCCTGTGCTCTGCTGGCCTCGGAGGTGCTCGCAGAGACGATTCGCTCCACAGGCGGGGCCCAGACGACTCCGGAAGCGTCGGGCGGATGAGTGGCCGAGAAGCCCAGTCACGAAGGCCCAAACGGGAGCGCCTTCTCCCCGCGGGGCATGGAGGCGGGGGCCTTGGGGCCATCTCGGCGCGTTCCTGGGCAGCCCTGGGCCCCTTGGAGCCCGTCCTGGGGGCCCCGCCCTAGAATAGATATCATGACGTTGGGCTCCAGCTTCGCCTCCCACGTCTCGCTGAGCAGCGCCAGACCCTGCTGCCACTGCTTGCCCTTCTCGCACGCGCTGATCCCAGCGCTGTAGCTGAAGCGCTGGGGCAGTGTGGGAGAGACTAGTGTGCACCCGTGGAAAACCCACGGCATCGAAGTGTGGGCCCCGAACGCGCTGATGTCGCCGACGCGAGCAGAGGGAGGAGAGGGAGAGCGGCACCAGAGAGAGGGGGTGGAGGCTCCCAGAGGCAGAGGAGGAAGAGGAAGAGAAGAGAGAACGCGGAAGAGGGAGGGTAGCTTTCTGGGGCCTCGTTCGGGGTCTGGGGTGCTTTTCGGGGTGCCGTGGAGGTGTCCCCTGGCACCCCCATCGCCCGAAGGGGGGGGGGGGGGGGGGGGGCGAGGCTTGCTGGTGTGTGCAGGGAAGAGAGGTGGAGACGGCGAGGGAAGGAACGCGAGCAGAAGAAGGACAACGACACCAGAGAGAGGGGTGCAGAGGCACCAAAGAGGCGGAGGAGGAGGAGGAGGAGGAGGAGGAGGAGGAGGGGGAGGAAGAGGAGGAGGAGGAGGAGGACCAGTGTAAAACCAAGAGTCATCAACGATGTTGGAATTAGCCCTCCCTCCAAGCTCCCTTTTCATAGGCCCCCACATCGGTTCATTTCCATGAAAAGAACTGCCTCGTTGGAAAACAACCGTTTGAAGATCCTGAAGCATGCCAAAACATTGTTTTCGGGATTTCAACGCCACGTATCAACCTGACTGCTGCGTCTTTGACGATCCGGAATCGTGCCAGAGCGCCATTTTCGGGACTTCAACCTCGCGAATAAACATAACTGTAGCACCCGCATAATCCTGAATCCTTCCAAAACACCATGTCTGGTACGCTGATCACGGGAATCCGTGAAACGGCTGCAAATGCTTAAAAACGAATGTGCGCGGCGCTGAGGCGAAAGTTACATTTTGAAAAGAAACCGCCCTCAATCCTTGAAACGCTTGCAAACTTTTAAAACGAATGTGCGCGGCGCTAAGGCGAGAGCCACATTTCGAAAACGGCCCGCCCCCAATCCGTGAAACTATTGCAGTGTTTGAAGAAATGCCCGCGGCGCTAAAATGAGACCCACAATTTGAAACCCACCCACTCTCAATCCGTGAAAATCTTGCAAACGCTTAAAACGAATGTGCGCGGCACTAAAGCGAAAGCCACATTTTGAAAACCACCCGCCCTCAATCCGTGAACCTCTTGCAATTTGTTGAAACGGATGTGCGCGGCGCAGGCGAGAGCCACAGTTTGAAATCGACTCGCCCTCAATCCGTGAAATTTCTGCAAAATGTTGAAACGAATATGCGCGGCGCTGAATCCAAAGCCACATGTTGAAAACAACCCGCCCTCAATCCGTGAAATTTGTGCAACTGTTTTGGACGAATGTGCGCGGCGCTAAGGCGAGAGCCACATGTTGAAAACGACCCGCTCCGAACCCGCGAAACTCTTCCAATTTGTCAAAGCGAATGTGCGCGGCGCTAAGGCGAGAGCCACATTTTGAAAACCGCCCGCCCTCCATCTGTGAAGCTGCTGCCACTTCTTAAGCTTCAGAATCATAAATAATGAAGAAGTCTCATGCGAAACGCCCGGCCCGCCCTAAAAAAATTGGCCTCGGGGTGCAACAAAGAGGAGTTATCTATAAGGAGAAGGAATGGAAGACGAGGAGGAGGCGGAGGAGGAGGAGGAGGAGAAGTACGAGGAAGAGGACGAAGAAGAAAAGAGAGAATAACAAAGGCTTCCTGAAACGCTCATGGAGTTCAAGATTTATTCGGGGCTTGGGTAATCCCGAAACAGCAAACGGCGCCAGGGTTTGAGGCTCGCCAGTGGCAGGGTTCGCACGCCGCCACCCCGACCATATCGGCGCAGACCTCATACGTTTCGTGGCCCCCTTGGGAGCTCCACCGAAGGCCCGAATGGCAGGGTTCACATGCCGCCGCCCCGATCATATCAGTACACCCCTCACACGTTCCGTGGCCCCTTAGGGAGCTCCACCGAAGGCCTCATTGGCAAGATTCACGTGCCGCCGCCCCTACACAAGTCGGCACACCCCTCACACGTTTCGTGGACCCCCTAGGGAGCTCCACCGAAGGCCCGAATGGCAGGGTTCACATGCCGCCGCCCCTACCATTTCGGCACACCCCTCGCACGTTTCGCGGTCCACTGGGGAACTCCACCGAAAGCCCCAGTGAGAGGATTCACACGCCGCCGCCCCGACCATCTCGGAGCAGCCCTCACAAGTGTCGTGGCCCCCTGAGGGAGCTCCACCGAAGGCCTCATTGGCACGATTCACGTGCCGCCGTCCCGACCATTCCGGCGCAGCCCTCACACGTTTTGTGGCCCCCTGAGAAACTCCACCGATGGCCCGAATGGCAGGATTCACATGCTGCCGCCCCGACCATTTCGGCGCAGCCCTCGCACGCTTCGTGGCCCCCAGAGGAGCTCGTCAGAAAGGCCCCAGTGGCCGGTTCCCCGAAAAGTTGGGCTCGCCGATTGGGCCGGTTTCCGCCCAGTTCCCCGATCTGCCCAGCTCCCAGACATGCCCAATTCCCCGATCTAGCCATGTTTTCCCTGGACTGGCCCAGCGACCGCGGGCGCTGTTAGGCAGCCATGGACCGTCCCTGAGCTCCTGGCGTCTTCTTTCGAGCCAGGCATGCTCGCCCAGATTCGGGCCCCAAGACCCTCGCGGATCGATGCGGCTCGAAACATGGCGCAGGAAGATCGAGCCCAGTGCTCGAGCCGTGATTTCTCGCGACGTCTGAAATTTTAAAGCGTCGGATCTTAGGCGCCCCCTGCCCCGTGGAGGCCTCTCCGAAGGCAACCTAGGCGGCCCAAAGTCCCGCCTGGACATCTGAGGGCCTGGCTGGAAGGGCCCGGGGGGGGTCACGTTGCCAATGAGAACCCACTGCCACGCGCAGGCCCCGGCACTGCACAGCTAAGGGTATGATTAATTAAAAGGCGGGCCTCCGGAGATATCTAGGCAAATGTTCGATTCAAATCTTGAGTGAACGCTGGGCCAGCCTCGCAAACGCTGGCCCATGAATTGGCAAGGGGAAATTCAGATGGGCCAGATGAACCGAAGCCGCCGAAGAACCGTTGGGCCAAGGCGAAGACGGTAGGTTTCTCAACGAGCGGCGCAATCGCAATACAGATGACGTTTGGCTCCAGCCTCGCCTCCCGCAGCTCGCTGAGCAGCGCCAGGGCCCGCTGCCACTGCTCGCCCTTCTGGCACGAGCTGATCCCAGCGTTGTAGCTGACTAGGGTGTACCCGTGGACTACGTCCACTTGCGAAGTGATGGGGCGCTGCCGTCAGGCGATCACGATGGATGGCGTCAGGTTCGTCTTCCACATGTCGCCGAGCAGCTTGAGCGCCGCCTGATTGGGGAGCATGGGAGATGAGGAGGCTCGATCGGGCCATGCGCAAAACGCACTGGGAACGGAGGCGCGATGGAGCAGCCGGGGGAGAAGAACATGGATATCTTCCCATCCACCTCATTATCCTTATGTTGCTCCTGTTCCTCCTCCTCCTCCATTTCCGTCTCCTCCTCCTCCTCCTCCTCCTCCTCCTCCTCCTCCTCTCCTCCTCCTCCTCCTCCTCCTCCTCCTCCTCCTCCTCCTCCTCCTCCTCCTCCTCCTCCTCCTCCTCCTCCTCCTCCTCCTCCTCCTCCTCCTCCTCCTCCTCCTCCTCCTCCCCCTGACTCCCTCATCCTTCTCAGTGCCCTCCTGATCATCCTCGTCCTCCTCATCCTGTCCATCATCCTCTTCATGCTCCTCTCCTTCGGGTTCTCCCGCCTGATCTTCTGCAGCGTTGGAACGCAGCGCGACAGCACCCTTCGGCAAGGCGTCAAAAAATGCGGTTGCGTCGAAGGCGTCGGCAGGGCCCAGTCTCGCGGCGTCTTCCTAGGCCTCTCTTGGGGCTCTCTTCGAAGTTCCTGAGATCTTCTTGGGCTCCTTTCGGGGGTTCCTCGCGGTTTCAAGGCCGTCTCGGGAGGGGCCGCGAGGGCGCAAGGACGGAACAAAACAGAGCTTCGAGGTGTTCGTTTTGAGGAGCGCTCAAAACGGACAGTGCCCAGCCACTGGTGGGGTTTTCCCAGGCCTCTCTCGGGGCTCCCTTCGAAGCGTCTGAGATCTTCTTCGGCTCCTTTGGGAAGGTCCTCCCGGCTTCAAGGCCGTCTTGGTAGGGGCCTCGAGGGCGCCAGGACGGAACCAAAATGAGCTTCGAGGTGTTCGTTTTGAGGGGCGCTCAAAACGAACAGTGCGTGGCCTCTCGCGGGATCTTCCTAGGCCTCTCTCGGAGCTCTCTTCGAAGTTCCTGAGATTTCCTTGGGCTCCTTTGGGTGGCTCCTCGCGGCTTCAAGGCCCTCTCGGTAGGGGCCTCCGGGGCGCCAGGACGGAACCAAAAAGAGCTTCGTGGTGTTCGTCTTGAGGGGCGCTCAAAACGACCAGAGCGCGGCCTCTCGCGGGGCCTTCCTACGCCTCTGGGGGGGCTCTCTTCGAGGCTCCTGAGATCTTCTTGGGCTCCTTTGGGAAGCTCCTCGCGGCTTCAAGGCCGTCTCGGGAGGGGCCTCGAGGGCGCCAGGACGGAACCAAAATGAGCTTCGAGGTGTTCGTTATGAGGAGCGCTCAAAACGAACAGTGCCCAGCCCCTGGTGGGGATTTCCCAGGCCTCTCTCGGGGCTCTCTTCGAAGCGTCTGAAATCTTCTTCGGCTCGTTTGGGGGGGTCGTCGCGGCTTCAAGGCCCTCTTGGAAGGGGCCTCGAGGGCGCAAGGACGAAAACAAACAGGGCTTCGAGGTGTTCGTTTTGAGGGGCGCTCAAAACGAACAGTGCCCAGCCCCTGGTGGGGCCTTCCCAGGCCTCTCTCGGGCTCTCTTCGAAGCGTCTCGCGGCCTTCGGGGGCTCCTCGCGGTTTCAAGGCCGTCTCGGGAGTGGCTCGTTTTCCCGAGGAAACGCTTCTTTTTCCCCTCCTCAGACGCTCCTGCCGTCGCGTGTTGGAGTGTCTTGGGCCATCGTGGGCGCGAGGGGGAGGCTGCTGAGCTTCCAGGGCGCCTCCGGGGAGGCGTCTCGGAGCGGCCTGCAGGCAGCCTCGGAGCCGTGCTGGAGTCGACCAGAGCTTCCAGGTGTTCGTTTTGAAGGGGCACTCAAAACGAACAGCACCCAGCCCCCTGGTGGGGCCGCAAAGAACGCGAGGGCGCGGGGAGAAGCACGCAGCGGGAGCTCGCAGGGAGCCTCGTCGGCAGGAACGTCGAAGTGGCTGGCTTCCCCGAGAAAATGTGTCTATTTTTCCCTCCTCAGGCGCTCCTGCGGGCGCGTGTTAGACCGCTCTGGGGCCATTGTGGGCGCGCGGGGGAGGCTGCTGAGCTTGCAGGGCGCCTCCAGGGAGCGTCTCGGAGCGCCCGAAGAGATCCCAAGAGAGCCCGGAGGAGGCCGCGGAGGGCCGGAAGAGGGCCCCGAGGCGCCAGAAGGGCCGGACAGGGGGCCCGAGGCAACCGAAAAGAACGCGAGGGCGCGGGGAGAAGCACGCACCGGGAGCTGGCAGGGAACCTCGTCAGCAGGAAGTTGAAAGTGGCTCGTTTTCCAAAGGAAACGCCTCTTTTTCCCCTCCTCAGACGCTCCTGCCAGCGCGTGTTGGAGTGTCTTGGGCCATCGTGGGCGCGAGGGGGAGGCTGCTGAGCTTCCAGGGCGCCTCCGGGGAGGCATCTCGGAGCGTCTCGGAGAGGCCTGGGGCAGCCTCGGAGCCGCGCTGGAGTCAACCAGAGCTTGCTGGGGCGCCCGGGGAGGGCTCCGGAGGGGCCGGCCCGGCCATCGTGGGCGCGAGGGGGAGGCTGCTGAGCTTCCAGAGCGCCTCCAGGGAGGCATCTCGGAGCGTCTCGGAGCGGCCTGAGGCAGCCTCGGAGCCGCGCTGGAGTCGACCAGAGCTTGCCGGGACGCCCGGGGAGGGCTCCAGAGAGGCCGGCCCGCGGCCACTGCGTTACAATTTGGCGAGCGGTGAACGCTGCATTGTAGTAGAGATGACGTCGGGCTCCAGCGTTGCCTCCCGCATCTCGCTCAGCAGCGCCAGAGCCCGCGGCCACTGCTCGCCCTTCTCGCACGCGCTGATCCCAGCGCTGTAGCTGACTTGGGCGACCCCGTGGACTTCGTCCACAAGCTTCTCGAGGTGGTGCTTGAGGAGCACCTGGTCCTCCTGGGTCATCAGCGGGATCTTGTGCTGAAAAATATACGTCCCGAGATGGCTCATGGCGCCCATCGCTTTTGAGAGCCCCTGTATGAAGGGCTGATCACGCATGGCTCCTACCAGCAGTCGCTGTGGTTGAACACTCACAAGGGCAGCGCCTGGAAATAATTACCTGCTGTGCAAGCGCCCATTGCTGCCGAGGGCGATTTCGTCGCCGCTTGGTAGCCCGGCTTCGCGCATTTCCATTGTAGACGCGCGCAGAAGAGGGGCGGGGAGAGGAAGCTGGGCCTCATGATAATGCGGCGGGGGGGGTCCCAAGGAGGGAGAGAGCGTGATCCACCGCCGCTTTACTGTGGAAAATTGCCAACCTTTTCCTCCTGAGCCCTGGGGTCTCCCCCCCCTCCGAAAAAATCCCCCCCCCCCCCCCCCCCCCCCCCCACCCCCCCCCCCCCCCCCCGCCCCCCCCCCCCCCCCCCCCCACCCCCCCCCCCCCCCCCCCCCCCCCCCCCCTGCTGGACCACCCCCCCCCCCCCCACCCCCCCCCCCCCCCCCCCCTTTTCCCCCCCCGGCAACCCCCCCACTCCCCTAACCCCTCCCTTCCCCCCCCTTTCCCACTCGAAAACGGGGGGGTCACTACGGTTTCGAACCCCTCCCCCCCCCCTCCGATACGGAAAAAAAACTGGTGGGGGCCACTACCGGTTCGCACCCCCCCTTCCCCTTTCCCCCCCCCCCCCCTACTCACCGCCAGCAAACGACTCCCGGTCCCCACCACCGTCCGCATCACATCCCCCACTGGTGTTCCCAGCACCACTGTCCTCACCACCACTGTCCCCACTGGTTCCACCACCGTCCCTACTGTCCCCACCAGTGCCCCCACCACTGTCGCACTGTCCCCACTGTCCCCACCACTGTTCCCACCACGGTTCCACTCTCCCCACTGTCTCCACGGCCCCAACCACTGCCCGACTATCCCCACTGTCTCCACTATCCCACTGACTCCTCCGCTGTCCCACTGAGCTGTCCCACTGTTCCCACCACTGTCCCCACTGTCCCCACCACTGTCCCCACTGTACCTCTGTCCCATTGTCCCACCGCCGTCCTCGCCACCGCCTTCACCACTGTCCCCACCACCATTGTACCCTCCACTGTCCCACTGTTTCCACCTCATTCCCATTGTCCCCACACCACTGTTCCCACCACCACCGTCACCACCACTGTCCACTGTCCCCCCCTGTTCCCACCATTGTCCCCACCACTGTCCCCACCACTACCGTCCCCACTACTGTCCCACTCCCCACTGTTCCCACCACTGTTCCCACAACGGTTCCACTCTCCCCACTGTCTCCACGAACACAACCACTGCCTATCCCCACTGTCCCCACTGTCCCACTGACTCCTCCGCTGTCCCACTGAGCTGTCCCACTGTTCCCACCACTGTCCCCACTGTCCCCACCACTGTCCCCACTGTGCCTCTGTCCCATTGTCCCACCGCCGTCCTCGCCACCGCCTTTACCACTGTCCCCACCACCATTGTACCCTCCACTATCCCACTGTTTCCACCTCATTCCCACTGTCCTCACCACCACTGTCCCCACCACCACCGTCCCCACCACTGTCCACTGTCCCCCCTGTTACCACCATTGTCCCCACCACTGTCCCCACCACTACCGTCCCCACCACTGTCCCCCTGTCCCACTGTCCCCACCACTGTCCCACTGTCCCCTCGCCACTGTCCCCGCCAACACCGTCCCCACCACTGTCCGCACCCCCACTCGATTTCCGAAGGGGGTGGGGGGGGGGTTCGAACCGGTAGTGACCACCCCCCCCCTTTTCATGATGAACTGGGGGGGGGGGGAGGGGTTCGAACCGGTAGTGACCCCCCCCCGGTTTTCCGGAGGGGGGGGGGGGAGGGGTTCGAACCGGTAGTGACCCCTCCCGGTTTTCCGCCAGCAGCGGTAGAACACGCTCTTTCCAAGGAGGGCACATCCAGATTAGGAGAGCGGGAGGGATCCAAGGACCCCCCCCCCGCTAGACAACTCCCAAATGGGGTCCGAGTAGATGGGATTGGAAGATTGCACCCCTCGCGGATGCATCGGCGACGTCGGCGTGGAGACAATCGGGCCTCACGTCGAGCCGCATCGCCGATGCACCAGCGATGCGGCGCGATACATCAGCGATGCGGCGCGATCCTCCGACCACATCTACTCAGGCCCAAGTTGGAAGACCTGGACCTGCACTCTCAGACGCCCCCCCTCGCTTTCCTCTTCTTCTCACTCGCCTGCGCGCCGCTGAGCAGAGATGCGAGAGCCCCCCCCACAGGTCGTCCGTGCCAAGGCCCTCGACGTCTCGCCTGCTGCCCGAGGGTGTGCCGACACAGTCCGGGGGATTAGCGGCGGCTGCCCCCTGGCAGAGAGGTGCTCCGTCGCTGCGCGGATGTCGACCACGCTGCCTCGGATACTCCAGCAGCCGAGCGGGGCGAGGGACAAGGAGGAGGAGGGAGAAGGGAGGAGAAGTGGGAGGATGAGGAGAAGGAGGAAGGGGAGCAGGAGAAGGAAGGGCGAAGTACCTCCCCACCTACTGGAGCCAATGTAACGGCCACGCGGAGCATGTTTGGCCGCAACCCTCGACGGTACGCGGCGAGAGCACGCCCAGGGGCCTCTCCTTCTTCCCGGCCGGCGACTCGCCGTCGCAGTCGCTGTCGTCCATTGTGTCGTCCAGGCCTGGCAGGTGCGCGGGGGCGCTGGGAGCTGCTGGAAAAGAGGAGAGTGGCTCGTGCTCCTCCTCCTCCTCTTCCTCCTCCTCCTCCTCCTCCTCCTCCTCCCCCTCCTCCTCCTGCTCCTGCTCACAATAACCACCACCATCACCATCACCACCATCATTCATTATCGTCATCGTCATCGTCATCATCATCTTCATCGCCATCATCACCATCATCGCCATTATTATCAACATCATCATCACCAGCATCATCATAAACACCAGAATAATAATAGTAAAAATTACCCTGGCGACGTACCCAACCCCTGCGCAAAAGCGGGGCGCAAATAGTTTAGGATACTTTATAAGGGGGCGATGACGGAGCGAGGGTTACATATGTCTGCAGACGGAATTCGGGAGACTCGCGGGACACTGGCTACAGGAAAAGGGCTTGATAAAGCTGATGATTTACAATTCCTGAGCACTCCTAGCCACTTCGAAAACGGGGATCACAGCAGGCCTCGAAAGTGGCGGAAGGTTCACAGATCGCAGCCCCGCAGGATGGCGAGGTATAATTGAATCTGCCCGTGGCCCTCACTGGCTCGGGCCCCCCAGCAGGCCTCGAAAATGGCGGCAGTTTTCGCAGATCGCAGCCCCCCAGGGATGGCGAGGTCATTTGAATCCGCCGGTGGCCCTCACTGTTGACTGGGCCCCCCAGCAGCCTCGCATAATGGCGACAGTTTCGCAGATCGGCAGCCCACTCAGGATGGCGATGTCTATTTGAATCCGCGCGTGCCCTCACTGTGCCTGGGCCCCCACGAGGCTCCAAAGTGGCGACAGGTTCACAGATCGCAGCCCCGCAGGGATGGCGAGGTCTCATTTGAATCTGCCCGTGGCCCGCACTGTGCTGGGCCCCCCAGCAGGCCTCGAAAATGGCGGCAGTTTCGCAGATCGCAGCCCCCCAGGGACGGCGAGGTCTAATTTGAATCCGCGCGTGGCCCTCACTGTGCTGGGCCCCCCAGAAGGCCTCGAAAATGGCGACAGTTTCGCAGATCGCAGCCCCCCAGGGATGGCGAGGTCTAATTTGAATCTGCCCGTGGCCCTCACTGTGGTGGGCCCCCCAGCAGGCCTCCTCGAAAATGGCGACAGTTTCACAGATCGCAGCCCCCCAGGGATGGCTAGGTCTAATTTGAATCTGCGCGTCGCCCTCACTGTGCTGGGCCCCCCAGCAGGCCTCGAAAATGGCGACAGTTTCACAGATCGCAGCCCCCCAGGGATGGCGAGGTCTAATTTGAATCTGCGCGTGGCCCTCACTGTGCTGGGCCCCCCAGCAGGCCTCGAAAATGGCGACAGTTTCACAGATCGCAGCCCCCCCAGGGATGGCGAGGTCTCATTTGAATCTGCCCGTGGCCCTCACTGTGCTGGGCCCCCCAGCAGGCCTCAAAAATGGCGGCAGTTTCGCAGATCGCAGCCCCCCAGGGATGGCGAGGTCTAATTTGAATCCGCGCGTGGCCCTCATTGTGCTGGGCCCCCCAGCAGGCCTCGAAAGTGGCGACAGTTTCACAGATCGCAGCCCCCCAGGGAGGGCGAGGTCTAATTTGGATCTGCCGCGATTACCCTCTATGCTGGACCCCCCAGCAGGCCTCGAAAGTGGCGACAGTTTCACAGATCGCAGCCCCCCAGGGAGGGCGAGGTCTAATTTGGATCTGCCGCGATTACCCTCTATGCTGGACCCCCCAGCAGGCCTCGAAAGTGGCCACAATTTCACAGATCGCAGCCCCCCCCCCCAGGGATGGCGAGGTCTGATTTGAATCTGCCGCGATTACCCTCTATGCTGAGCCCCCCAGCAGGCCTCGAAAGTGGCGACAGTTTCACAGATCGCAGCCCCCCAGGAATGGCGAGGTCTAATTTGGATCTGCCGCGATTACCCTCTATGCTGGACCCCCCAGCAGGCCTCGAAAGTGGCGACAGTTTCACAGATCGCAGCCCCCCGCGGGCAAGACAGGAAGAGGCGGGAGGCGGGAGGCGGGAGAAGGGACGCGACCACACTGCTCTATTCAAAACGAAAACCCAACCAAGGAGGGTTGGGAATAATAATAATAACTGGCGCCGAGCCTTTGGTGCATAGACGCCAACGGTCGACTAGGTTCGCTTGAGTCCAGCTCGGTCGGCTGTGACGGTTGGGCCCAAGAAGAAGATTCCAATGGCAGTGAGTTGCACAGGTTTGCTGTCGCAGCAGAGCTGGCGGTAGTCAACAATTTCGGAGATGGAGCAGGAGATGGCTTCACATGGGTAAGTGTACCAGGGCATCAACATCGCATTGCTTATGTTGTGGCAGGTGCCCAGTGGAATGAATGCATCCAGGAGCACGGCGCGCGGGCTGACGTTGATTTCACGACAGCCGCTAAAGACAAGATGAAGAGAAGGTGCACCGCTGGGAAGGGAGAGGATGAGAAGGAGGAGGACAATCACTTTCCAATGTATTGCCTAATGAGCTGGAGGGCTGAGCCAGGGGCAAAAAGGGTCGGGGGTGGTCCTGGTTACGACAGGGCTAGGACGTTTGACGAAGACCATAAAAAGCCCTTTGTTGAACAGCTCAAAGACTTCCCCGCCCCCCACTGGAACGAAGATGTGAACGATCAGACTTGGAGGCTACAATCAGCTATGATTGGAGCTGCCCGCGAGTGCTTCCCCCTTTCCTCACAGCGCGCCCGTCAGCCGTACGTTCGAGCGCAGAACCTTGAGTTTATTGCGCTCCGTCAGAGAGTACGGGAGGCTTTGAGAGTTGGAGGGGCTGGCCAGGCCCAACGAGTTTTCAACGTCGAAGCGAATATTCACATGAAACCAGACATGTTGAAGGTCATCGAAGACCGGCCAGCCGCAAAGACAATCATGCTGCCGGCTCGGATGTCCTTGGAAGGTAAATCTGGGATCAAGGCTTGGACTAAGAGCCTGGTGGAGTGTATCCGCGGCAAGTCGCAGGTCCTCAGAGCCATGCTGGACGCAGATCGACATGCTTCTATGGAGGGTCTTGCCGACAAGCTCGGGAGATCCATCTCAGAGGGAAATAACAATGAGGGCTGGGCTGTGCTGCATGCCCTCAGGCGGTTCGGTGGGGGTGGGGGCAAAAAGAACACGGCCCTCAACAGTGCTTCCCCCCTCAGAATCGACGCAAAAGGAAATGCGTTGGCAACGAAGCAAGACATGGCAAGAGATGTTGCGAAGCACTTCAGCGAACTCGAGCATGCTGAACGGATCTCACAGCAGGCCCACGTCGAGACATATGGTTCAGGCATGCCCAACACGGAGTATGAGAAGGTCGATCACGCCAATGTTATCACCTCAAGAGAAACTGAGCTAATGTTGAGCAGACTTGACACTGGCAAAGCGGCTGGACCCGACAGGATTTTCAACGAAGTGCTGCGATGCGCCCCCCCAGGAGATGGCAAGGCGCATTCACCCGATCCCGGTGAAAGCAACCTTGCACGCGCGCGATCCTGCTGCATTTGAAGGAGGGATTACGTTTGACCTGTTACAAAATGAACGGCAAGCCCTCGCTTACAGCCAGTTACAGACAGATCTTGCTTATGAGGACTATAGCGAAATGCCATCACGCGTTTCTCAGAACTAGACTGTCTACGGTTGTGAAGTATATTTTGAGGACCTCGCAATGCGGAGGCGCCCAAGGAAAAGGGAAGGACACGGCCTCACACATGGTTCGTGCGGCGATGGAGTTGGCCAGGGCCCAAAAGCACAACTTGTTGGTCGCATTCACCGACCTGAGGGCCGCTTTCTACAGGGTGGTTCGGGAGTTGGTCTTTGGGGGACTCGTTAGACGTGAAGAATCGGATGATATCGCTGGTTCAATTGACCTTCTTCTTATCGTGTAGCCGAGCATGGACAAACTTACCAATGGGCCAGGAGTGTTAGAAAAATATGTGAAGGATTCCATATGATTTATGCTCTCCAGGACGTTCACCTGGACGCCTGGTTCGCGGTCCGCGGGGATGACAAAATCGCCAGGACCCTCATGGGAACCCGCCCTGGAAGCAACATGGAGGACATGGTTTTCAATGTATCGTTCGCGCCGATACTTGAAGAATGTCACCGCAAGATGAAGAGAGCCCAGCTTGCCATTGAGTTGCCCGAAACTGTCGGACCGTTTGCAGGCGAGCAAACCAGAGATCACAGAACAATATCAGCCGCAACCTATGCTGGAGATTTAACTGCGCTTGCCTTCTGGAAAGACAACGAGTCTCTACGCCCTACAGCCTGTCGTCTTTGTACCATTCTGCATGAGGCCACCGCATCCAAAGGGATGCAGCTCAATTACGGAAAAGGCGAAACAGGGTTCTCTGCAGGTATATATGGGGAAAGTAGTACAAGTGCCATGCAAGAGTGGTCTGCGAAAGGGGACGGGTATGGGGATCTGCGAAAGGGGACGGGTATTTGAAGATTGGCACATACGATGTTTCGGCTGAAATATGCAGCACGCACAAGCATTCAGGAAGCGAGCTCCACGTAGAAGGCCTATTTGGCCCTGAATTACAAGCCCGAGCGGCGTCAAAGAACGAGGGCCTGGGACCATTAAAAAAATCTCTTTTCAGGATGCGTGGAGTAGAAACAGAGACCAAGCTTAGGTTTTGCCACCCCTTGTGCACCACCAAACTGTTGTTCCATGGGTGCGTTTGGGGACCGTTGGGGGCCAAGGATGCCGAGAAACTCAGGATGGAGTTTTTGAAGCCATATCGAGAAGCCACCGGTGAGGCAGCCTGGAGGGCTAACCACGATGGTGCGCGCAGGCACACGGACGACGTGCTGTTGGAGGCACAGCAATTTGACATCGAGATTGTGCTGCGCATTCTTCGCCTCCGCTATCTGTCGCGCGTGCTCTCTAAGGCCCCCCCCCCCGAGCTGAGACTCCTCTTGGATGCCCTGTGGGAGTTCGAAGACGGTTGGTGCGCTATGTTGCGTAGGGACTCAGAGTGGTTAGAGGCTCATGCTAGCCCCGTTGTAGGGAACGATGGGGTCACAATTGGGAGTTGGTTCGGGGTCGCCCGCGAGGCCCCCAAAGAATGTGCCTGCATGGTCCGCAAGGCTGTCGCCAATCACACTTACTGGAGCCGGGACCAGTTAAGTCTTTCGAGGTGGAGGAGGAAAATGTACGACGTGTGTGCTGCGAGTGGCATTAAGCCTCCACCTACTGTGCCGACCCCCCCCCAGGAGATTGGGTATCCCTGCCAGGACTGTGGGGCGGTTTTGGGATCAAAAGGCAGTTGGCGACTCCATCGAGTGAGGGATCACCCAGACCAAGATCCTGCAGCGAGGCATGCGAGGGGAGGGACGTGCCACGTCTGTCTACAGTGATTCACCACTCGCGCGCGTCTGCTCCAGCACTTGAGAAGGGGAAGCAGGTGGCGTCTGGCGGGCTGGGTTTCTCACACTCCACCGATGGAAGCAGACGAGAGAAAAAGAGAGAGAGAGAGAGAGCGAAAAAAAATGTGCGAAGAGCAAGCCGAGACTCAGCGTCTCAAGGCTAGGGGCCTCTACTATGCCAAAGCTGAGGTGTCAGTTTACCCAGTCTACGGGCCAGCTGTTCCTCCTCCCTCACCTGAGATGGTTTCCACAACCAGTCCCATTGCAGTGCCCGAGCAGTTTCCACAACCAGTCCCATTGCAAGCTGTGCAGTTGTTTGGCGTTGCGCCGATCTCCCTGCCAGTTTCAAGCAGCAGTATCAAGTACGTATTGCATCTCTTCAGCGGCCAGAGACGCCAAGGAGACTTGCAGGGCCATTTTGAAAGATGCACCGAGCAGTCGAAGGCAGCGGTGTGGATGTTGTCAGCAGCCGACGTCGTGCACGACGGGGTCTTGGGGGATCTGAGGAATGCCGCTGCCATCGACAAGTTATTAGACCTCTGCTGCGCAAGCAGAGCGATAGCTGTGATCGCAAGCCCCCCATCTGAGACTTGGAGTTTAGCCCGAGCCGGTTGCTTAAATAATGGAGACGGGGAGACGCGACAGCTGCGCTCAATTTCCTCGCCGTGGGGCATACCACAGCTAAAAGGAAAAGAGTGGGCCCAGCTGGAATGTGCTCATGATCTGTATCGAGCCTCGATCCTATTTGCATATGTGGCTGCAGCAGCTGGCATGACAGCAGTGACCGAGCACCCTGCACCACCGACTGATCAGTTCCTTCCATCCTCCTGGCCCTCGGAGGAAACTTCACATCTGATTAGATTGCAGCACCCAGGCGTAGAGACAGAGCTCGTCTGGTTGGATCAGTGTGAGTTTGAAGCTGAATTTGTGAAGCCAACATGTCTTTTGGTTGTGAATATGCCGTCCTTGGGCAGTCACTTGCGACAGATTCCGGGGCAAGGCTGATGTACACACCCTCTTGGCAGCCACAGAATGTCGACCAGTCGTGCTCAAGATAGCACGATCAATGCTGCTCCTGCAGGGCAGTATCCAGACAGGCTGTGCGCGTTCATTGCCTCTCACGTGCATCAGTTTTGCGTGTACGCAGGACCTCTTGTGGATCCACACAGAGGGCCGCAGGATATCGAGGAGGATGTAATTAGACGTTTTGCCCCCCTGGACGCATACAATGTTGCGCACTCCTGGGGGGACACTGCCAGAGTTCAAGGATGAGGCTGGCGTAATAGGTGCTTGGTTTTGGATCACGGGGTCGGGTATGGTTGGGGTGGGACTCACATCCGGCCGCCCTCGTCCGACTCTCTGGGTGCGCGCGCCTCCGCCGGTGAGCAGGAAGGCCAGGCGTGCACCCGAGGAGTGACTACCTACCAGACCACCCCAACCCAACCCGAAGACCCGAATTTCGGGTTGGGGGGGGTAAGGGTTCCACATGTGTTTTTTCGATGTTCCCCGACCCCCCCCCACTGGAAATCGAGGGTAAATCTGAGCCTTCGGGTTGGGTTGGGGTGGTTTGGTGGGTGGTGAAGGAGGCAGGTCAAGGAGGCATCGCGGCCCTCATCAAGGAGGCCGGCCCTGCTCCCGCTACCTCTCCAAGGAGGCGCGGCCCTGCCAGCCGCCGCCGCGGCACGCCACCGCTCGATCTCGCTCGATCGATAATGCACGTAAACGAAACTGCCGCCTGCGAGATCGACTCACTATGGCCGAAACGGTAGAAACGGTAGGAAGAGGAGGAGGAGGAGGAGGAGGAGAGGAGGAGGAGAGGAGGAGGAGGACGGCGCGCTTACGACGAAAGCGACGACGACGACGACGACGATGCACAGTCCGCGAGGAAGGGGTGAGGAGGGGCGGCACAGGCCGTCGCTGTCCCCTCCTGAAGAGCTTGACGATCTGCAGGCCATCGCAGCGGCCGCACAGATCCAGCACCTGCGATCGCGTCGAACTTCTCTCTGCCCCCTGTTCCCTCCCACGCCATCCCTCCCGGGCGCTATCCCTCCTCCTCCTCCTCCTCCTCCTCCTCCTCCTCCTCCCTCCTCCTCATACTCCTTTCCCTCCTCCTCCTCCTCCTCCTCATCCTCCTCCTCCTCCTCATCCTCCGTCTCCTCTTCATCATCATCATCATCATCATCATCATCATCATCATCATCATCATCATCATCATCATCGTCATCATCATCATCATGATCATCAGCATCATCCTCCTCATCATCATCAGCAGCATCATCATCATCATCATCAGCAGCATCATCATCAGCATCATCAGCATCATCATCGTCGTCATCATCATCATCATCGTCTTCAGCACCATCAGCATCATCAGCATCATCAGCATCATCAGCATCATCAGCATCGTCATCATCAGCAGCAGCATCAACATCATCATCATCCTCATCATCATCAACATCATCATCGTTATCGTCATCATCGTCATCAACATCAGCATCAGCATCAGCATCATCTGCATCATCTGCATCAGCTTCAGCAGCATCATCATCATCAGCATTAGCATCACCACCACCATCATCATCATCAGCAGCAACATCAGCATCAGCATCAGCATCATAATCATCATCAGCATCATCAACATCATCAGCAGCATCATCATCAGCAGCATCATCATCATCATCAGCAGCAGCATCATCAGCATCAGCAGCATCATCATCGTCATCAGCAGCAGCAGCATCATCATTGTCATGATCATCCGCGTCCAGGTGGGGGGAAGGAGAAAGGCAAGGAAAATCCGCCGATCCGGCGTGTGAGTTTCAAGGAGTCTCAGCTACAGCCTCGAGGCTGAGCTTCAGCCTCTGGGGGGGTCGCCGGGGTGGCTCTGCCGGGGACGGGGGGGTGGGGGGGGGGGGGGGGGTGCGAGTTTCCGGCGAACCCCGGGGCCGCTCCGGGGGAGTGGAAGATAGGGGGGGGGGGGCGCCATGCTCCGCTTTTTCCGGCGCTTTGGAGGAGGGGGGGGGCCCAAGAGACCCCCAAGGGGTTCCAAGAGGGCCCCGAGTCGCCGAAAAATCGCTCCAAGACGCCCGATATGGCCTCCAGACGGCCCAAGGTGTCTCCAAGACGCCCCAAGAAGCTTCCAAGAGGCCTCCCAAGAGGGCCCCAAGAGGCCAGAATCGTTGATTTTCATTGGTTTTTTTCAGGGTTTTTAGCGTTCTTGCCTTTTCGGGCGCCCGACGCTCGAAGACGGCCCAAGAGGCCCCCAAGTCCGTCCCAAGACGGCCCACGATGCTTCCAACACGGCCCAAGAGAGCCCCAAGACGGCCCAAGAGGGCCCCAAGACGGCCCAATAGGGCCTCTGGACAGCCCAAGAAGGCCCCAAGAGAGCCCCAAGAGGGGCCCAAGAGGGGGACCACGAACCGAAAGAACCGAGCTTTCCGCCCCAAGAGGCCCCCAGGAGGCCCCAAGAGACCCCCAAGGGGCCCCAAGAAGCCCACAAGCGGCCCAAAAGAGGTTCCAAGAGGCCCCAAAACAGCTCCCCAGAGGCCTCCAGACTGCCTCCGGCAGGCCCCCGGTTTCTTCCGCGGCACCGCCCAGGGCGCCACCGGCAGGATGTCCTCCGTCTCATCGTTTTCCTTCAAGTTATCGCCTCTTCCTCATTCTCCTCCTCCTCCTCTGCGACCTCACTCCTATCCCTCAACGATCGCGTCACCGAGTTCCTCTTCTTTGAAACATCCTCGCTCTTCAAACGCACATCCATACACACATGCATACATACCTACATTTAAACACATTTGCATACATAGAAAAACAATATTCCAGACATACATACTTACATTCACACACATACACACATATTATCATACACACATACAAACATACATACAAACTAAATACATACATACGCGCACAAGCATACATACATACATACGTACCTACACACAGGCACACATGATCACTGCATGCATACATGCATGCACGCGTACATACACACACATATATCGTGAAACTCACCGCGTGCTCGAAACTTGAGAGAGACCGCGGGAAGTCGAGAGAAGCCACGGAACGAGGCCTCTACTACTACTACCACTACTACCACAACCACTACTACTACTACTACCACTACTACTACTACTACTACTACTACTACTACTGCTACTACTACTACTACTACTACTACTACTACTAATACTACTACTAGTACTACAGGAGCGTTTCCCAACTAGTTTGTGTGTGTGGGTGATGCTGTGTGCGCATGTCTGCGGCGCAGGTTAAGTGGTGTGACTGTGTGTGTGCGTTTGAGTGTGCGCCCATAATTTCTGCGTCTGGAGAATAACCCCGAGCGACCCGGATCGGCGGCACTGGCCGAAGGCCACTACAATAGTGGAAAGGCGGCGGCACGGGGATGGACAGGGGGGAGGGCGAGTGAGAGGAGAAAAGGGATTCTTTGCCATCCACGGCCAAGGACCTCACCTAGGTGGGGCAAAACGATGGCGGCTCGACTGGAAACCCGTCCTTCTTGGAGTGGAGACCCGTGCCAAGCCGCCTCCATTTCTCTCAGTTGTGAGGATTGGCGAGCGGCTTGCATCCAGTAGCCAGCTTAGCGAGGCGCTCACCCGATGTGAAGGCCCCACACCGCCGACGGATACAAACGAACGACTCTTCGCTACAGTCCAACACCCTGCACCTCTGGCCCAGCCCACTCAGGGATTCGAGATGGGCCCGAAAGTGTCTGGTGCACCTTCTGCTCGGAGGCTTCGTGGTCGAACGCGAGCCTCGCGAACAACGCTGGCATTGCCAGAAAGTGCGGGGCGGCCTACCAGCCAAAGTCCACTCATGGGACACTGGCGGCGAACCTGGCTCTACTCGAGGCTTCTTGGCGAGCTGGACTCCGTCCAGACCCGTGCGAGGCCAAAGGGGCAAAATCCTGGCCGAAAGCTTCACAATGGCTCTCGACACCGAAGCCAGGTGTGAAATGCGCTGATGTTTCTCGACCGAAGCGTCAGGGTGGATGCCAGCCCCAGGCTTAGCGGGCCCTGTCGGCCCAGTCGTTCCACCGACGCCGAAAAGGCACATCGGCGTCAAGAGAGGCATCAAGCTCGAGATGGGCCCCAACTTCACCCCCGAGATCACTCCGTCGGAAAGGGCGTTGACTTGCAGAATGCAGTACGAATGCACAAGCCTGTGCGAACATCTCTCTGGCCTGGGCCGAGTCCACAGTTTGACCGCATTCGAACGGTCAGAATGAGACCTTACAGACTCTGCGGCGATTGGTAGGCAGCAATACCAGCTGAAGCTCCAGACTCGGCTCCGTGGCTCGTCTGGGGGTAGCTCGCAGACGGAGGCCAATACAAAATAGCTTTGAGCTGACCCTCAGGGGTGAAGTGAGCAGCCCCCCGTTCCGCCCCCCGATGCTCTTTAGTGGGGGACGTCCTGCACGAGCCATCCGGAAGCAGATCCCCCACCAGTTCCTGCCTTCGTGGCCGAGTGCGTGGCGAAACCCGCAGATGCATCAGGAGTCTCGGGCGATTCCACCGCATCAGAAGCGCGAGAAGTTGGGCAAAGCGAAGGCTTTATCATGTCCGAGGAGTCTGGGCCACCAGTCGCCAGGATGCGGGAGCAACCCAGTCTCGGGCTGCGGGTGTCGAGGGTAGAGTCAAGCCGCTACCATGAGGGGCTCGAAAGAGAAGGAACGAGGCTCCTGTTTTGCCCCGAAAGCGCCTGGGGGCACGAAGAGCGCTAGTAGAGGAACAACCATGGAAGGACCGCAGGAACAGCGAGCCCCTTCCGAATCCACCCATGGCAGCAACACACGGGCGCAGCCAGCGGCCACGTAGAATCACCCAGGACGCAGCCAATGGGTGCAACCAATGGCCGCGAACAATCAGCGGTGGCAGCAACACTGGGGACAGCGATGGCGACAGGGAAGATCACGACGACGATGACGACGACGACGTCGACGAGGACGGTGGCAGAGGAGTATGGAAAGGACGACGAGGTGGAGAAGGAGAGGGGAGGAGCAGGAGGAGAAGGAGAAGCAGAGCTGGAGAAGGACAGCACCCCGGCCCAAGGTCCCAGCACGAGCGGGGAGCCTGCGCCAGGCCACGTCCCTAGCTAGAGAAGAAAAAAAAAAAAAAAAAAGAAGAAGCACAAAGTAGGGAGGGGAGGAAAAGAGGGAAAAAAAAAAAAAAAATAAAAAATACAAAATAAAAAAACAAAAAAAGAAAAAGAAAAACCACGTCCCGAGAGCTGGTTGCACGAGAAGTCCACCTCGCGGTACTGCAACCGCGCCTCCGCGTCGCGTGGTGACGGGGCTGGGGAACCCCCAGCCTCCCCACGGAGAGCCCGTCGTGGTACAGATGAAAGGGAGGCACCCTGCGGATGAATTCTGAACAGTTCGAGCAGCTGGCTGGCGAACCCTACGTCGCCTGCCAAGCGTCGTGGCGCGGGGAGCGAGGACACCAAGTGCGCCACGAGGGACAGAAAGGAGTTTAACAGCAGCAGCAGCGCCAGGACGACGACGACGGCAGCAGCGTCAGGGAGGAGAAAGAGGGGGAGGAGAAGGCGGAGCGTCCACGAGACAAGTCCCTGCTCCTGCACCTGCCGCTCCAGCATCAGTTGTGCTTGAATTGGTGGTTCAAAGATGGGGTCTTGAGGGATGGGGGCCTAAGGATAGGAAGGCATCCAAGCGTGGATTGCTTCGTTTGAATAACCTCGTCCTCAGGACCCCATCCCTGAGGACTCCATCTTTGAGCCACCGACTGAGTGGGACCAAGCTAAGGGGTGGTCACCACCAGGGGGCCAACGACCTGGCGGGCAAACGCTTCGGCTGATCTGCTACTCGGAACGCTGGAAACAGACGGCCGTCCGAGTAGATAGGGTCCCGCTGAAGAGGCGCAATAACCACATCATATACAGGTTCCCAGGAGATTGGGCAAGCCGCCGCTACAGCACAAAAGCCAGGAAACAACACCGCGAATGGAATTGCCACATGGTCTTCTCAAATCGAATGGCATCTCTAGAGTAGACACCCCTTTTCAAAACATGTGCAAACATACACATGTTTGCTTCGCGGCAGGTTGGTCCAATTCAGCGAGGGCATCAGCGGGATGCGCTGAGCAGATTACCACCGAGCGTGAGCCGATGGGAGCTCAAAGGGTGACACGACTGGTGCAACGAGGATGGCAGGCTCAGTGAAGGAACACCTACAACCCACTGCGGCACCCTGGAGGGGACAAGCTCTGCCAGAACTGTTCCTCACCTCGCTCCGCAACTTCAAGTACGGCATCGTCGCCCTGGCCGACGTCAGGCGACTGAAGGTCGACTGGCAAGCCGTTTAGCACCGCCACATGCCCCACACCAAAGACTCGCACAGGGGCCAAGGTGCTGGCGGCAAGCGCTCTGCCGACTCGGGCTCAGCTGACGCAGAGCGCCTTCGGGGTGTGTAAGCCCTGGGCGCCCTGGACCCACCCTTCGTGCCCCGCTACCTGGACCCGCGCTGGCCACCACGGGCTGACCCGTTGCCAATCGCCTTGACATGTGCATATCTTGGGCCATCCAGGCTCACCCAACGCGCCACGCGGCCTGGACCTACGGACTGGGCAGCGAGGTGTGCGGCCCGAGGGAAGGAGGATGCCCTGGACAGACCGCTACGGTGAGGCAGGCCATTGGATAAGGAACCATTGGATAAGGATAAGGAACCATTGGATAAGGAATCCAGTGTCTGGAAGCCAGTTGAGCACCAATGCAGGCTTGGCCCTGGACATCGCAACCGCCCTCATCGGATAAAGACCCTTCACGGTCTGCAGCCTCCTGGGCAGACTCCTTACCACACGCCCCCACCGCAGCAGCAGCAGCAGCAGCAGCAGCAGCAGCAGCAGCAGCAGCAGCAGCAGCAGCAGCAGCCAGAAGGCTCGATCACTGCGGGAGGCTGCGCGCGGGATCGCAGCAGGCTCGATCGCAGCAGCAGCAGCAGCAGCAGCAGCAGCAGCAGCAGCAGCAGCAGCAGCAGCAGCAGCCAGCAGGGCCCCTTGGCCCCCACGGCGCCCATCGTGCCCCCAGGCACGGCCAGCGCCAGCCAGGGCGAGCGGGAGGGCGCCCCCCCCCCCCCATGCCTTCGGCACCTCCTCCGGCCACGTCCCCGTGGCGCCCCAGCGTCCCCAGGACTCCTCCTCGCCGTCGGCCTCCGCCGCGGGCCGCTTCCCGCTCGCGCCCCAGCTGCCCCAGGACTCCTCCTCGCCGTCGGCCTGCACCGCGGGCCGCTTCCCGCTCGCGCCCCAGCTGCCCCAGGTCTCGTCCTCGCCGTCGGCCTCACACCGGGAGGGGGGGCGACGGGGGCAATGGAGGTGCGTCACTCGGCTACACGCACGAGCGACCCTGGGCAAGAGTGACCTGTGCTGCGCGACTCCACGGGGCGCGTGGGGTGGCAAAACACAGGCGCGCAAGAGGCTACTACCGCATCGCGCTCGGCGAGCGGTAGAACCCCAGGGGCCCGCACCAAGGGCCCCTCTGGCGAAGAGCCACTCTCACGTCATAGCCGCGCCACGGGCGCCGGCCTCGGCTCTCGGCCGGCCCCTCTCGCCGCATCGCCTGCCGAGGGGCTCCCGCTGCCGCTCGCTCCTGCCCCCTCCCGAGGCCCAAGGAGGGCCGCCCCCGCGGCTCCCCAGGCCCGCCCACGGCGGCACAAGGGGCACCCAGGAGGGCACGGAGACGGCCAAAGAGGGCCCTCAGACGGCCCACGAGGCCCCTCAAGACGACCAAGCACGCCGTCGAGGCGGCCTCGAGAGGGGCCCAAGAGAGGCCCAAGAGGAGAGCTCGCAGGACCCTGGGAGACCCTCTCCCAAGATGGCCCCCAAGTCCCCCAACATGCCCCCAAGAGGCCGACAAGAGGCCCCCAGAGGGCCCCCCTAAGCCCCCAGAAGCCCTGAAAGGCTCCCAAGGGACCGCCGCCTGGTCCTCCAAGACGCCCCCAGCAAGCCCCATCTGCAACAACTACACTCAGGCAGCACGACGGGAAACTGCAAAAAAATACAAGCGGCATCGGAAACCGCACATCTCCGCTTCTGGGTCTCGGCGGAATGCCGAAATCCTCCTGAACAGCAAGGGCGCACGATGGGGAAGGGGCGCGATCCCTTTTGCAGACTCGCATCCTTGAGTCAGAGCATGATACAACACGGGAAAGCGAAAGGGTCGTGCGACAGGGCAATGCACAACGCGCACTATGGGGAGGATGAGACGGAGCAGGAGAAAGAGAAGAGGATGAAGATGAGGAAGATATGAAGGAGGAGGAGGAGGAGGAGGAGGAGGAGGAGGAGGAGGAGGAGGGGCGTCGCGTCGTCGAGCGCCCTGGGCGGCAGTGAGCCGCTGGACCCCTCGGGCAGAGGAGGAAGGCTCAGAGGTGGACCGCTGGCCCCACGGGCAGACGCAGAAGCCGAGGCAGCAGGCGCAGCGCGCCCGCGGCAGGAGCAGAGGCAGGAGCACCCGGCGCCAGCAGGCACGACCGGCGGAGGCCGAAGAGGAGCAACGGCAGGGCCTCGGGTGCTGCTAGAAGTAACCCCAGGACTCTCGGGGTAACCCAGGGCACCCAGCATTCGGCCCAGGATTCTCAGGGTAGCCCAGGGTACCCAGGTGCTCAGGGTACCCAGGATTCTCAGGGTAACCCAGGTGTTGCTAGAAGTACCCAGCATTCGGCCCAAGGTACCCCCAGGATTCTCAGGGTAACCCAGGCGGCCTCCAGGGCACCCCTCACGAGGCCCAGAGTGCCCCAGGGGCCAGAAAAGGGAGCGAAAAGCTGGGGGGCACCTTGGGCCAGGGGTACTTCTAGCAATACCTGAGGGAGGAGCAGAAGCAGGAGGAGCGGCCGCAGCCGGAACAGGAGGGTCGGGACGGGGATCGGAGGGGAGATCAAGAGGAGCATCGGGAGGAGCTGGACAGCGGTCACTCCCCATAAGCAACCCGCACGGAAAACGGCTACAACACCTGTTACCCAAAGAGATCCGAAATAATAAGCAGCCTCAGCGGGCCTGGAATGAGCCGACGTTCAATCGCAAGCGGCTTCACGCAAAAGCTTACTGATTTGGACGAACTGTCAAGAGGACTACCATCAACAGTCAGAAGATATGAGAAGAAGGGAGAGAAGAATAGGGGAGAAAAAGAAGCAAGAGCACAAGCAGGAACTAGATCAGGAGCAGAAGGAAAACAAGAATAAGAGACTAAGAAACATATTAATAAACATAAGAAGAAGAATTAAAAGTGCGCATGAGCGGCACAGAGCAACAAGCAGTACTTAACGCCCCACAGGGGGCAGTGCGAACGGTCTGCATAGTGATCGTGACCAGTCAGCGTCATGGTCCACAGGAGGTCCATTCAGGCTTCGGCGTTGCTGCTTGAAGGTTCTCACCAAACTCGAGCTGCTGGGAGGTATGCTCAACTTGCCAGAGCCACCGACACCGAAGCCGACGAGGGGTTCGAGAGTGGATCGAATCACCGTGCCCGTTAGGCGTGCAGCTCCAACGCCCTCCCCGTCGGCTTGCCTCACTCGCGCCATTTGCCCCCCTTGCGGCTCTCGTGATCCAAGGCAGGGGCGGCCCCGGGACTCGGAAACCACAACTCTTAGGACGCGTGCCCAGGAGTACTCGGGTCGCTGCCTGCGAAACCGCCCCAAAGCTGCTCTGCAGTCTCAACGAATCCAGGGTCCTCCTGGGAGCCGCTGAGGGACTTGGAGCCTCGATGGCGCAACCGAGGAGCTGAGGAAGGACACAGCGCGGACTGGACACAGAGAGCACACTTGAAAGCACCTGGAGTGGACAAACAAGATGCAGTAACCCTGAAGCGGCTGGGCACTAGCGATAACATTCAGAAGCATGATTGCTAATGTTTCCGCCGACACACGTTTCCCCCCGAGCGAAAAGGGGAGACAGCGCAAGCACACGACAACCATCTCGCACTACACCAGTTACGCGGCTCCCGAGCTTGTCCAGGGGGCTGCGTACTGCTTCAGACGCCTCACGTGGGGCTGCTCGGAGGCCTCCCATGGCCAGCACAGCGCACGAGGAGGGATCGGAAAGCCCAGAAACCCGGGCCCAAAACTGACGACGCGACCCCCGAAGGGGCCAATCCTGGCCCCCATCGTGCCCCACCCTGGCCCCTCATGAGCAGGGGCGGCTCACCCCTGCGAGCGAAGCCTCGAGGAGGGGAGGCGCCATGACACGGGCTGGTCGTGTGCTTCTGCGGGGGCCTCTGCGTGCTCCGCCTCCGCGGCGGGCGCTGCGGACGCGGCCTCCGGCCTCGCCTTCTCCGCGACAGCCGCCGGAGCCTCCTCCGGCGCCGCCTCCACTGCTGGCGGGCGGGCCTCGGCGGGCTCGGCCTCCCCCGTGGGCGCTGCAGGTGCGGCGTCCGGCTGCGCCTCCTCCTCGGCGGCCGCTGCTGGGGCCTCTGGCGGCGGCGCCTCTTCTGCCGCTGGCGCGGTGGCCTCAGCGCGCTTCGCTTCCGCTGCGCGCGGCACTCCACTACAAGAGCACGAGGCACCAGGCCAACACCACCAATTTCGTGATCGGTGAGCGCGCCACGCATGGCACCAGACGCACAGCATGAATCCCTGGGCACGCAGACCCGACTTCGCTCTCGGCAACCGGGCGGCACGAGACAAGACGGCACACGGCACAGGGCTGCGCAATATAGTTCCAGATCTCGCTCGCGAGACACAAAGGCATGGGGCCGTGGGCAAGGGTCGAGTGCAACTAATCTGACTGTCACCAAGGGGTAAAATCGAGCCATACCGCTACTCCCATGACTTCTCCCACGGTGCATCCTGACCAGTTCTTCGGAGCGAATCCAGTCGTGGCGACGAGGGAGGGGCAGCGGCATCGGTGTACCTTTCTCTTCTGCCTCACCACATAAGAGGGACAAACGCGCATAGCCTCTGCAAGTAAGAGCGACTAATCAGAGTGTCCTTCACCGCACGAGGCAAGGGAGCCGCACAAACGATGCTGCCTGGCGCAAAACAGACACACGAACACACTCTTCCTCAGCAAGTGTTCGCTCGGCGACGCACAGGTCAATATATACATATAAATATATATATATATATATATAGCGAGACAGAGAGAGAAAGAGAGAAAGAAAGAAAGAAAGAAATAAAGAAAGAAAGAAAGAAAGAGACTAGACTGCAGTAGCGCTTCTCGCCATGCACCTTGGTCCTTGAAGTTTGGTATGCAAGCGGAATGGCAGGAAGGTCAAGCCGACAATTCAGCTATAATTCCTGGTTGCCTTTTTCTGGCATCGCCGTTATGATAACTGCTTTTTGTTCGTTATCCTTCCTCCATGCTTCTTGTTCTTCATTCTCGCCATACCCTGAGCATTATCCCTATCCTCCTCAGCTCTTTTTGCGGAGGCTCCTCCTTGGAGAGCCTCTGGGGGGATCACAAAAGTTTTCAAGCTTCTCGAGGCCTTCTGGAGGCCTCCTGGGCGTGTTCTGGGGGCCTCTGGGGGCTGCCTCGGGCCACCCTGCCTCCAACCGCGGTTTCCCTGAACGACTGGGTCACGACTTGGAATGTTTCGGAGGGTGTTTTGGGGGCATCTTGGGCCGCCATGGGGCTCCCTTAGGGTCATCTTGGACCCCTGTTGTGGCATTTCGGGGCTGTCTTGGACTGCATGGAAGCCCTTTCGGATAGTTACGGGGCGACTTTGGAGCCCCCCAGGCGGCTTCCGACGCCCAGAAGACCGCCGTTTTGGAGCGTCGGGAAGCCGAAAAGAGCAGAACAAAAAAAATCACCAAAAAACAACTGAAAATCAATGATTTCTTGGGCCTTCTTGGGAGTGATCTTAGAAAAGGGAATCTAAGAAAAGGGAAGAAAAAAAAAAGAAAGAATAAAAAGGAAAAAAAAAAAAAAAAAAAAAAAGACAAAAAAAAAAAAGAGAAAAAACAAATAAAAAAGAAACAAAGAAAAAAGAAGAAAAAAAAAATAAAAAAAAAAAAAAAAAAAAAAAAAAAAAAAAGATAAGAAAAAAAAAAAAAGACAAAAAAAACATGTTAAACAAAAAAACAAAGAAAAAAATACTAAAAAAAAAAAACCAATCAAAAAAAAACAAAAAAAAAAAAAAAAAAAAAGTAAATAAAAGAAAAAAGAAACAAAAAGTGTAAGTACAAGAAAAAAAAAAAAAAGAAAAATAATAAAAAAGAAAAAAAAGAAAGCCTCTTGGGACGTTTTGGAACGATCTTTGGGGGTATGACAGCTTCTTGGGGGTCGTCATGGACCATATTGGGGCTCTGTGGAATCGTTTCGGGAGCGCGCTGGAACGCCTGGAACTCGTCTGGGGCCAGCTTCGGGCTCTGGTGAAGTTCTCCCGGGTCATCTGAAAGGTTGCCCGGAGGCCCGGGGAGGGCAAAAATTGTTAGACGGGGGGGGGGCGTTTTTACCGGCCTCCCCTGCCCTGTAAAAAAAAGTCCATCGCGTGGCTCATAATGGTGCTGCTGGGGCCCGTCATGCTGCGCGCGATCCCGTTGGTGGAGTCCATCGTGATGCTCGAATACATGTCCCAGGCCAGATGGCGCGCTCGGCCAGGCCGCCGCGAGGGCCGCAGCTGCCGCCGCGTGTTCAAAGGCGGTCGCCGACGCCCAGAGACCGGCAGCGGCTGCCGCCGCGGCGGCCGAGGCGGCGCCAGCTGCGCCCGCGGTGCCCGCAGCGTCAACGGCGCCCGGAGTGCCCGAAACGCCAGCAATGCCAGCGGCACCCGCGGCGCCCGCGGCGCCCGCGGCGCCCGCGGCGCCCGCAGCGCCAGCGACGCCTGCGGCGCCCGCAGCGCGCGAGACGCTCGCGGCGCCCGCGGCGCCAGCAGCGCCGGCAGCGCCAGCAACGTCGGCGGCGCACGCGGCGCCAATAGCCCACGCGGCACCCGCGGCGCCACCGAGGCCTGGGGCGCCCGCAGCGCCCGCGGCACCCGCGGAGCTGGCAACGCCAACAGCGCCAGCGGCACCAGCGGCGCACGCGGCGCACGCGGCGCACGAGCAGCCCAAGGCGCACCCGCGGCGCCCACGGGGCCAGGGGCCCCCGCGGCGCCAGCGGCGCCAGCGGCACCAGCGGCGCCAGCGGCGCCAGCGGCGCCCACGGCACCTGGACCGAAGCGCCGCACCTGAACCAGGGGCATGCTGGGGCCCTGACGGCTTGAGCCAAAGGCTTGAGCCAAAAGGGAACGGACACACACACACACACACTACACACCACGCACGCACGCACGCATCAACCACACGAAAGCACGCACGGCACAACACGCCCGCACGGCACACACACCCAACACACACACACACACACACACACTCACACACACACACACACACACACACACACACACACACACACACACACACGCACACACACACACACACACACACACACACACACGCGCACACACAAGAAACCAGCTCATGGGGCACAGCGCAGGCGCGTTCTTCACAGGCGAAATACACAAAGTCGCGGTGTGCGAGCCCTCGCACCACTGCATGCACACGGAGGGTTAGAACCATACCCATTCGCGTTTGGGGGGCAAGGGGAGGCAATAGGCGAAAGGAGGAGAAGGAGATGCACACGCAGGCTGCCTACCTCAGACGCGCTTCTTCTGGCCGAAGAGCACGCGGCGCGGCGCATGGATCTGGCCGAGCTAGCTCTCGGACTGCGCAGGGCCACGTTGGCCTACAAGCGGCGCAGCGTCCTGCTCCCGGCTGCTGGCACCTGGGAGGGTTCAAACCGGAGGAGAGGTCTCGAAGACACCGCGCGCTGCTGAAAGCACGCCCACGCTGGAACCTGCAGGCGAACGAGAACAAACATCGAAAAACGCACCGCCAACCAAACCACCACCACCAGCCACGAGCGGACCGTGAACCAGGAAGCGCACGCTTGGAAGCCCAAGCGGGCCTGGGGCCAAGGTGACGGCAGCAGTAGGGGCGGGTGCCACCCAGCAGCCGCTCCCAGCAGCTGCCAGTGCAATGACACGGCTAGAGGGGAGGCGACGGACAAGTTGAGACGAGACACGAGCGCGAGGCACGTACGAATGTAATGCTGGTGGTGATAGTCCCCCTCGTCGCGCGTGATGATGCTGTGGCACTGCTGCAATCAATCCTGCTTCTCGCTCAAGTACGCGTCGCAGCGGGGCTGCTGGTCCGCCGCGCGGGTCATTGAGGTGAACTGTTCTCGCACCTGCTGCTCGAAGCAGCGCTGCTCCTCGACGCGCTCGTCAGTGCGATGTCCCACCACCCGCTACTGCCGCGGCATCTGGAACGACTGCTTCCGGCCATGCAGGTCACACGCGTGCTGTGATGCTGGTGCTGCTGCTGCCGCTCCCACTCGTCCTGCTCGCCGACGTGCTGGCCGATGATGCAATGGTGCCGGCAAGGCTGCTGCTTCTGCTGCGGATATTGCAACTGCTGGTCTCCATGGTGCTGCTGCACTTTGCATTGTTGATCCCAGCCATGCTGGACTGACAGTCCGACATGTGCTGAAGAGGGTGGAGTTGCTTCTCTCGCTCGCACAGCTCGCCCACGAGAAGGTCGACGGGGTGCGTGCCAGTGAAGCTCACGGCGCTACTCTCGCGAGCGCTGGGGCAGACCCCGATTGCGACGACGACGACGACGACGACGATGAACTGGCGGACCCACATGCTGCTACACTCTCGTGGTGCTGTCTACTGGCACGATGGCCAATGAGGTGCTGTCAGAACAAGCCGCGACGGTGACGCTCGTGCTCCTGCTCTTGCGAGCGCAGCGGATGGTCCAGTGAGGCTACAGCACGTGGGCCCGCAGGGCCCAGGTGTCCCGTGTGCTGAGGAGGCCGGTGCGATCGCGCTCACCAGTGCTACTCGCAGCGCTGGCCCATATGGCACTGCTGATCCCAGTTGTGCTGTGGAAGCTCGCGGTGCAGCTCTCGCGAGCGATGCGGCTGGCATCGATGCCGCTGCTGATTTCTTGGGCAGCGCGTCCCAGTGGTGCTGGCGAAGCTCGCGTTCCTGCTCTTGCGAGCGCAGCTGATGGTCTACAGGGGCTACAGCACATGTGCCTGCAGGGCCCAGGTCTCCCATGTGCGGAGGAAGACAGTGCTGTCGCACTCACCAATGCTAATCGCTGATGCGCTGGCCGATGAGGCGCTGCTGATCCCACTCGTACTGGCGACGCTCGCGGTGCCGCTGTCGCGAGCGGTGCGGCTGGAATCGCTGGCGCTGCTCCTCATTGTACAGCGCGTCCCACTCGTGCTGGTAAAGCTCGTGGTGGTATTCTCGACATCGATGCTGCTGCTATCACTTGGGCTGCTGCATCTGGTACTGCTGCCTCCTGTCGTGCCCGATTCGTCTGTGAGAAAAGGCTGGCATTGCGGCCATCTCTCGTACTGCTCGCTGATGCGCTGCCTGAAGAGGTGCTGCCAGACCCATTCGTGGGGTGATGGTCGTGGTGCTGCTATCGCGATCGCTGCTGCTAGACACGCTGGTGCTTCTGATCGCGATCCTGCTGTCGGAAATAGGCTAATCTTACAAAACGTGAAGAAAAACGGGCGTTATTGCGCTCATGCGGACTGCACGCTGACGTTCTATTCTAGACTGCGAGGCACTGGTTTAGGCCGTGCTGCAAACGCTCTCAGGCTATCCGTCGTGATGCGTCCGTCTTGTTCCGTAACGCGGTGCCTGAAAATGATGGCGTCGATCGTGGGAGTCGGAGTCATGCTGCTGCTAAACGTCGCACCACTGGCTGGGTCGTAGGGGTCGAGGCATTTATTGTGATAATGCTACTAGTATTGGCAGCCGGGTTCGAGGCATGCGGTGCACCTAGCGGCAATGGCATTCGAAATCGGAGGGTGGGGTGGCAACAAGGATTGTGGGAACGGGGTGTGGTGCCTGCCCGCGACGGTAACGGTGGCAAGTTGTGGTGGTGTCAGCGGGAGTGGTGTGACTTGAGATCGGTGGTGGTGCACCGTACTCTTGTCAGTCGTATGGTAAGGTAAGGTATGGGAGGCTCGCTACTTGAGCGTGCTAAGAACCATTGGAGTAACTGGCACATGGAAGGACATGGTACGGTACGTCATGGTCGACGTGGCATGCGATGGGGGCGTCAGAAGTGGAGCAGTGGTGACTGCGGGTGGACCTCGATCCACTGCTAGACAAGTGAATGCCACAGAGTCGTGCTGGGGCTCCATGGCGCGGTGCTCAAAGCCGTGCTGGTCGTGCGCCGGCCGCGCTGCTCCGCAAAACAGCGCCCGCCACACCGCAAGCAGCATACCGTGGGCGACAACGGTGAGAAGCAGCACGACCCTGATACTCTTTTGGTGTCGGCGGCTAGGCAGAGGGCGACTTCGCTGGCGGTATAAGCATAAGCGGGGGTTCCGTAGGAGAAAATTGTGCCCCCGTGCAAGAGGAGGAGGGAGGAGGGACGCGGCTGAAGGAAAACAAGGACGGGGCGGGCGGCTCAGGGGTCAGATCGCTCCCAGAGCGTGTGGCGCGGCAGGCCCCGCCGCTCGGCACTCGGCGGCTGCTGCGACAACCGGCCAGGGGCGGCGACGGCCCTGATGCTCACGAGTTGGGCGAGTGGGGTATCGACGCCGCTGGGCAGCATTTTCAACGCCAGCAGCGTGACAATGGTCAGCACCACGGGGAGCATCAGCGCGACTCAGTCGCCCTGTTCCTACTCCTCTGCCCCTCCCATATCATCGTTGTTTCCCTTCCCTTGCATCCGCCCTCCTCCTCCTCCTCATCTTTTTCCTCCTCCCGCTGCATGGGCCAGGCCGGGGCCCGAAGACGGCCTGAGGCTGACTAGCTGGCGGCGTGGGCTGGCCAGACGAAGGCCCGCTAGTCGTCCCAGGCCGAAGGCGGACTCCGAGCAGAAGGGCGCTCTCCATGTATTCCAATTAACCAACTCCAGTGCATTCCTTAAATGTCCGTTCATTTCTGCGTAGTCGATTATATTGCCAAAGGACGAACCTCCTTACACGCTTGGCCGCAGATCACACCAGGCCACATTACACTGGGTCTGGTGCTGCGGCTGCGGACAAGGAGGAGGGAGAAGGGAGAAGGGAGGAGAAGATAGGAGGAGAAGGAACGAGGGGAAGGTAGGAGAGGAATGAAAGAGGAGGAGGTAGGAGGGGCAGGGGGGTTCTATCGTGTGCAGCGTGAACGATGTGCGCTTGGATGTGCGCCAGGAGTGCCACCAGGCCCAGCCTCAAAGAGACCTTGCCCGGGCGCAGCTTGCGGCGGAACCCAGGGCCATGACCCCAGTGTCCGGGAGTCCCTTTGCGTGATGGATGGGGACCGCCAAGCCGAGGGGAAGGCGGGAGGGAGGAGAGAGGAAAGGAGGAGGAAAGGAGGAGGAGGAGTAGGAGGAGTAGTAGGAGTAGGAGAATGATGAGGGCGGAGGAGGAGGAGAGGAGTAGGATGAGGCGACTGAGGGAGTAGGAGGAGGAGGGGAGGAGGAGGATGAGGATGAAGGGAGGGAGGAGGTGGAGGAGGGCATGGGGAAGCATAGGAGGGAGGAGGGAGAGGAGGGGAAGCAGGTAAAGAGGAGCGTAGAGGAAAAAAAAGAGAAAAAAAGATAATAAAAAAAAACAAAAGAAAAAAACAAAAAAAAACGGAGGAGGGCCGCCCCCCCAGGCCCGCGCCCGCCTCGCAGCGAGCCGGCGCAAGCGGGGCGTCCTGGGAGCCCGCCTCCGCTGGCGCGGGCAGCTCGGCCCTCGCGGGCTCCGGCGCGGGGGCCTCGCGCGGCTGCGCCGCAGGGCCTCCTGGGGCGGAGGGGGGGGGGCGTATCGGCGGTGAGTGGGCGATTGGGGGTCGTCGCGCCCTCTCCTCCCCCCCCTCCCTCCCCTCCCTCCCTCCCTCCCTCATCCTCCTCCTCCCTCCTCCTCCCTCCTCCCTCCCTCCTCCTCCCTCCCTCCTCCCTCCCCCTCCCTCCGCCTTCCCTCTCTCCCTCCCTCCGCCCTCCCCTCTCCCTCCTCCCCTCCTCCTCCTCCTCCTCCTCCTCCTCCTCCTCCTCCTCCTCCTCCTCCTCCTCCTCCTCCTCCTCCTCCTCCTCCTCCTCCTCCTCTCCTCCTCCTCCTCCTCCTCCTCCTCCTCCTCCTCCTCCTCCTCCTCCTCCTCCTCCTCCTCCTAAGGGCGCGCAGGTGCGCGACCGCCTGCGCGCAGGTAAGGCGCGCGGAACCCGGGAGCTGCAGGCGCGCAGGCGCACGGACGGCGCACAAGCTCACGAAGCGTTTTCTGCGAGCTGCCTCGAGTCCACGAGCGGGCCCAGGAAGCGCCGCCTGGGAACTGCAGGGCTCGGTTCGCCGGACTCGCCTCGCCCAGGCTCGCCTCGCCAAGCTCGCTGCGCCAAGCTCGCTGCGCCCTAGGCTCGACTCTCCCAGACTCGGTTCGCACAGGCCCTGCTCGCGCGGCTCTCGGCTCGCCCAGTTCTGGGTGCGCGCGGCTGCGCCTCGGTGCTTCGGGGGAGGCCAGTGCCGAGCGGCACTGCCCCAGGCGAGAGACAACACAACAAAAGTCAAGGATTCATGGCTTGTCCATGCCATCGGCACCTGAGGGTCTTCTGGGACCCGGGGCAGCCAAAGAACAAGACGGGACGAAACACTTGCCAGGAAGGACACCCAGGTCCAGGGGTCGAGTGCTTGACCGGGCTTTGGCCCGGCGGGAAGGGGTAGCCACAAAGGGGGGTTCGCCGCCTCCTCCTGAGGAGGGCGAAGAGGTTCCCCCACCCAGGACCCCACCCCACCCCCAGGACCACCTAAAACACCCCAAACAGATGTGCACAGCATCTGTAGCTGTACTAATCTAATCGGTTCCCTTATTCACAAAGACTTGGCCTGACACAACTCTGGGTCCGTCCCGGGAGCCAGATTCTGGAGCGCCCTAGGAGGGCCCAAGATGGCCCCAGATGGAACCAAGGCGGCCCCAGAAGGCTCCAGGAGGCCTGAAGAGGTCCCGACGAGCGCCCCCAGACGGCCACGACGGGCCCAAGATGGCCCAAGATGGGCCCAAGATGGCCACTCGACGGCCCAACGGGCTCCCAAGATGGACCAAGGGGGTCCGAAGACGACTCCAAAGAGGCCCCTGGGAGGCAAAAGTTACCAGTTGTCCTCGGGTTCTGGTACAATTTTCGCGTACTCGGCCTCTCGGCCTCCAGAGCGCCCTAGACGTCCGCAGAGACCCCCGAGATCGCTCCAAGATGGTCCAATAGGCGCCCAAGAGGGCCCCAAGACGAGCCCAGGACGGCCCACGAGAGGTCAAAGACGGCCTCAAGACGCTCCAAGAGGGCCCCTGGAGGGTCCCAGACGGCTCAAGTGGGCCCCAAGACAGCCTAACTGGGCCCCCAGACGGCCCCAAGACGGCCCAGGAGGCCCCCGAGACGGCCTGAAAACGGCCTGGAGACACCGAAGAGGGCCAACTCAGGACCCTGCATCAGTACGGCGAAGGTCAGACTATCATCACCACCACCACCACCACCACCACCACCACCACCACCATCATCATCATCATCATCATCATCATCATCATCATCATCATCATCATCATCATCATCCATCATCATCATCATCATCATCATCATTATCATTATCATTATCATCATCATCATCATCATCATCATCATCATCATCATCAATCATCTATAATCATTCATCACATAATCATCACATCATTCATCATCAGTCATCCATCGTCGTTCGTCGTCGTCGTTCTGTAGTCCGTCGTCGTCATCATCAGTCAGCAGCAGCAGCAGCAGCAGCATCAGCATCAGCATCAGCTCATCCATCATCATCATCAGCATCATCATCATCATAATAATCATCATCAGCATCATCATATCATCATCATTCACCCATCCTCATCGTCATATCATCATCATCATCAGCATCATCATCATCAGCAACATCAACATCGCCATCATCATCACCACCACCACCACAACTACCACCACCACCACAACCACGACAACCACCACCACCACCATCATCAGCATCAGCAGCAGCAGCAGCATCAACACCATCACCATCATCAGCAGCATCAGCATGATCATCATCATCATCAGCAGCAGCATCAGCATCAGCATTGTCATCATGAGCATGATCAGAAGCGGCATCATACTCATCATCAGACTCATCATCAGCAGCAGCAGCATCGCCACAACCACTCATCACTATACCTATCATCAGCAGCACCATCATCACCACCACCACTACCATCATCATCATCATCATCAGCATCATCATCATCATCATCATCACCAGCTTCAGTATCATCACATTTATCCTAGTAACCATCATGATCAGCATCACCATCAGCAGCAGCACCACCACCGCCACCACCACCATCATCAGCATCAGCAGCATCATCACCATCAACATCATCATCATCATCATCATCATCAGCAGCATCATCAACAACATCGTAATCATCATCACCATCATTAGCAGAATCAGCATAAGCATATCATCAGCACCACCACGACCACCACCATCATCATCATCAACATCATCAGAATCACCATCATCATCAACAGCCGCATCATCATCATCATCATCATCATCATCATCATCATCATCATCATCATCATCATCATCATCATCATCATCATCATCATCATCATCATCATCATCTGGGTGCGCGCGGCTGCGCCTCGGTGCCTCGGGGGAGGCCAGTGCCGAGCGGCACTGCCCCAGGCGAGAGACAACACAACAAAAGTCAAGGATTCATGGCTTGTCCATGCCATCGGCACCTGAGGGTCTTCTGGGACCCGGGGCAGCCAAAGAACAAGACGGGACGAAACACTTGCCAGGAAGGACACCCAGGTCCAGGGGTCGAGTGCTTGACCGGGCTTTGGCCCGGCGGGAAGGGGTAGCCACAAAGGGGGGTTCGCCGCCTCCTCCTGAGGAGGGCGAGGAGGTTCCCCCACCCAGGACCCCACCCCACCCCCAGGACCACCTAAAACACCCCAAACAGATGTGCACAGCATCTGTAGCTGTACTAATCTAATCGGTTCCCTTATTCACAAAGACTTGGCCTGACACAACTCTGGGTCCGTCCCGGGAGCCAGATTCTGGAGCGCCCTAGGAGGGCCCAAGATGGCCCCAGATGGAACCAAGGCGGCCCCAGAAGGCTCCAGGAGGCCTGAAGAGGTCCCGACGAGCGCCCCCAGACGGCCACGACGGGCCCAAGATGGCCCAAGATGGGCCCAAGATGGCCACTCGACGGCCCAACGGGCTCCCAAGATGGACCAAGGGGGTCCGAAGACGACTCCAAAGAGGCCCCTGGGAGGCAAAAGTTACCAGTCGTCCTCGGGTTCTGGTACAATTTTCGCGTACTCGGCCTCTCGGCCTCCAGAGCGCCCTAGACGTCCGCAGAGACCCCCGAGATCGCTCCAAGATGGTCCAATAGGCGCCCAAGAGGGCCCCAAGACGAGCCCAGGACGGCCCACGAGAGGTCAAAGACGGCCTCAAGACGCTCCAAGAGGGCCCCTGGAGGGTCCCAGACGGCTCAAGAGGGCCCCAAGACAGCCTAACTGGGCCCCCAGACGGCCCCAAGACGGCCCAGGAGGCCCCCGAGACGGCCTGAAAACAGCCTGGAGACACCGAAGAGGGCCAACTCAGGACCCTGCATCAGTACGGCGAAGGTCAGACTATCATCATCACCACCACCACCACCACCACCACCACCACTATCATCATCATCATCATCATCATCATCATCATCATCATCATCATCATCATCATCATCATCATCATCATCATCATATCATCATCATCATCATATCATCATCATATCATCATCATCATCATCATCATCATCAGCATCATCATCATCATCTCATCATTCATCATCATCATCATCATCATCATCATCGTGTCGTCGTTCGTCGTCGTCGTCGTCATCGTCATCATCTCAGCAGCAGACCGCAGCAGCAGCATCATCATCATCATCAGCATCATCTCATCATCAACATCATCATCATCATCATCATCATCATCATCATCATCATCATCATCATCCTCATCCTCATCATCATCATCATCATCATCATCAGCATCATCATCAGCAACATCAACATCGCCATCATCATCACCACCACCACCACAACTACCACCACCACCACAACCACGACAACCACCACCACCACCAGCATCAGCATCAGCAGCAGCAGCAGCATCAACACCATCACCATCATCAGCAGCATCAGCATGATCATCATCATCATCATCAGCAGCAGCAGCATCA